AATACAAAATATACTGGCTCTTGTTATTTACATCTACTGGTTGTCCTGTTATGTATCAAAGACACCTTAAATTTAAATTGTTTGTGCTGACTCATCGTACATGGGCAACTGCTTCTTGTTCATTTTGAAGCCAAAAAAATCAAACACAAGAGTGTAAGCCTTATACCTTCAGAGTGATATTCTTGAGGAGGGTGTCTTCTAGAACAGCTTGTGGTTAATTTCCAAAGAGAGGTCAAGGGTCATTGCACTGTCTGTCTGGTGAGAGCTGTACAGAGATCCCATAATGCTATGCTTCTTGGACAATTCCACCTACAAGTAAGATTTTATAAATATAAATATTTCTGCAAAAATCATCTTGAGAAAATTCCATTTTTTAGCCTAAAATTTTTATATACACTTTAAACCTTTAAGATTCCAAATAAAATTTCTCAGGAGAGTTTATATTTACTTTAACCTAAAATGAATTTAAACAAAAATTTGGGCATTTAAATCCTTGAACTCTTCAATGTGCTAATTGATGTACAATTGTTTCTCTGTTGTTTGCTTGCATGTCTTCATTTCATCAATAATAATATTAAAAACATTATTAATTGTATGCTATTTCATTTACAAAGACACAATCGCCTCAGTATTAACTACATACATTTCAATACAAAATCTGTTTTTATCATGATATAAATACTTGATGCCAGCATTAATAAGACAGAACAAAACATCAGAGATCAAATACAGGTTGACCAAGACAATAAATTTAAAGTAGCATATTCAAATATTTGAAAGGTGCAGTAATACACATTTCCCTCATCTAAAGAAAAATTCATCAGTTTAACTACAATATAAATGGGCATCTATCTTGCTCTCTGAATGTTTCTTAATACTTGTGCATGTTACATGAGGCCAGCATTTTTTTATTTTTAGGTTTACAAACCCGCCGCTCGAGTTTTTGAATTTTCAGAAAAAAAATAAAATTGAGAAAAACAGAATTTTTTCTTTCCGATGTCAAATTTGAGTCGGGATCGAGATTTCAAATTTACGAACTCTTACTTCCGGTTTCAAAAAAATGCATGATGGCGGGTAACGAAGGTAGATTTGTCAAGTCCGAAACCGTCAAAGTGCAGTGAAAGAAATACGTCTCTTCAATTATTTTGTTTGATTGATATTAAGTAATCAACTCTTGAGATTAAATTAAGTTTATATTGACTGTCTCTCAAGGTGTTTATAGTCCGAGAGGTGTGGCGTTTCGCCACAGGCGTCTCTTGTTTCACTGCTATTTCCCATTTTCTCCACAAAATTAAGTTTACACGTGGGGTAATGACATCCGAAAAAGAAAACATGCACGGCACGGTGGTGGTCGGTTAGATTTATGGGATGTATGGAACTTCTATTGTAAATAATTTATATCCTCGTTAATTTGACTCCTGTAAATCTAGTAACGTTTGTGTAAAAACTTTGTTTCGTTTATAACAATTCAGAAAATTTACATTCTCTTTTAAACTGCAGCGAAATTTGTCTTTAATATGTTTAAACACACCATAGCAGCACTAAACCTTGGTTTAATGTAAATATTTATCGATAGGAGTTCCATTCAAAACGTCTCACTCATTCAGGGAACAAATAAAGTGCTGACAACTTTGATGCACAATGACATGTTGGTGAGATAATGTATCGGTATTCAAAAGTATCTGTCATCTGTCTGTAAATTAATTTCCTCCCACAGGTTTAAAACTGCCCATGATAGCTCTTGTCAGAGACATTGTTAAAGTTTCTGTTATAGCTTTCAGTCTTAGCATCATTCTTCAGAAAGGGGTTGCTTATGCAGCAGATGTAATGAATAAAACTATCGGAGAGATTAAGTCCATTTGAGGAAGAAATAAACAATTATAATTTTGCCTAAAGAAACGAAATATTTCAAATATTTAAAAACAAGTATATACAAAATTACAAATATATACAGGCAGGTAGTATCTTTTGTGGCAGTCAGAAAAATTATTTTACACTTAATTGAAAAAAATTCCATCCTACTCCCCAATATACTCCCTTTCTGTTTTAAGAAAGGAATTATTATCTTAGGTCTCAAGTATATTTAGAACAATTTCAACACATACATCTAATACATATATATTAAAAAATTATATTTAATAGGAAGATATATATATATGTGTATATTGAAAGAGTTTTAAAAATGTGTTGTTTTTTTTTTATCTGTATTTTGTCCAACATCACAAGGTTTATCATTTAAATCACTGGCCCCAACTGGTAAACAATTAAGGGTTCTATTTTCCCCTTTGTAACCCTTATGTGTCCAGTGGCAAGGAGCCTGTTAGGAGAGCATTAAAAAAGAAGCAAAAATTAATATAGAAAAAGTCGATAATGTATCCAAAAAAAATAATTTTATTTTTTTTTTATTTCCTCCTCCTACGGGACTTTTTCATTCTGATGTTCGTAAACCTAAAAATAAAAAAATGCTGGCCTGACTGTACAATAAAAGTGCAAGTTTATTTTCTGTACAGCTGTATTAAGCTACGTTATACACACTAACAAAACCCAAATAATCTAATGTTGATCAGCTAGGCATACTTTTCCTGTTTATATTATTAAGGTACATTGATACTCTGATTAGAGAGGTAACTCTAAATAACACATATGTCTATTTCCTTTATAAATTTGTCAAGTTTTAGTGCCTTTTTGTCAAATTTTGCCCCGCAAGCCATGCTATAATTGTATGTATTTTATTCAGCATATATATTTCCTTTGGAAAATCATAAAAGTTCAGAAAATATTTCATATGAGTGAGCAGAGGGTTTATGAACCTTAAATGCCAAATACATGTACATGTAAAAAACAAATCCTCATGCATTGGAGTCAAATCTTATATGAAGCTTACCCTTTCTTTAAAGTCTATTTCAGCTTTAGAGTTTTATGTGTAAACCATGCATATTTATAAAGGACAAATTCCAATCAGCTGCTAGAGGATAAAATTACCGGGTGGTCGCCACGGGTAAACAAATAATGAGGCACAAAGTTGGGAATTACAATTTTTATATATATAAAATACATGAAACTTAACTTAAAATAATTCTACTAGCATAAAATATCATTAATTTTATTGCGTTCAAAAAATGTGCTGATTATCGATTTATTTCTCCGTGTTTTCAAAACTGTCATCTCAAAATATTATTAATCTTATGATCCTAACAGATTCTTTCACTGTTTCAGCAACAAAACATTTCTTATAATTGTCGTTAATAGTCCTTCTGGTCCTGAAATTGATATCATCAAAAATTTCGCCTAATTATACTACCATTTAGATTTGCAAGATTATTCGGTCCAGCGTGCTTTGTGCAGATGTCAACTACGAGAGCACTTGATAAAGAAGTTTGAAATCTAGCTGTTTCGCAATTGAGAAGAATTTCATGGAATAAACCCATAAATAAGTGCAACTTTTTGTGCCCAAAAACTATATATGCACTTTTTTCATTCAATGGATTGCACTGTAGCTCTCCGTTCTGTCAATGTATTTTTTCGGAGAGCTATATATACCACCAGGAAACGGTTCTACGTAGAACCATATAGCAATTTACCATAACAAGTGTGTTTAAAGTGATCTAAGAAGAAGGTACAGTTTCAATAGAAAGTAAGCCCGATATTTTTCTAAAATATGAAAGTATATATAAGAAAACTTAATCATAGAAATTCCCTGCAGCAAGAATATACAAATCGTTTTTCTCATATGACCTCCTTATCGCTAATTGTGACGTCATTAACTTGTACGTTTTCCCGCATTTTCTTAAAAAGTTGCAGAAGGCATCAATTTTCAGGGGAATTTTCTTTCAGAAAACATACTCTGCCACAGTCGCCCGGAAAGATTTTGAGACATGTGATTTTTCATAATAGTTTACATAATATATCCAAAAATTAAAGTGTGCGACGGTGGCATACACTATTTCCTATTCTAACCCGGATCCCCACGGGGCTTCAGCAGTTGGAGAATTTAGGTATAAACTTGCCGTAAATTTTCCTTACAAAATGATAAGGGTACCGCGTAGGAATTTGTGAACTGTTCTGAAGGCTTTATTTTTATAGATGTAATGTGAAAGACATCGTTAAATATATTAAAAATTCCAGTCCATTTTATTATCATTGTCCTTGACAAAACCTTGTACGTCAAGATGATACCCTTTTAAACAAATTTTCAGAGATTTTTAATTGTATTCGTTATCGTATTCCTCATCTTGCCATGATACATACATGTATTAATAAATTAAACATGCATGTTAAATATGAGTGTACTTTAAAATTTCCGCCAAAAGCTATATAGTGTTTTATTGGCTTAATGCTCCATGACACGTAAATATTTTCTTGTCACACAGGAAGGCCTCTTCTTTTGGCATTTGGTTACACTTTGGCTTTGAAAAAAATAGAACATTTGGATTTTATTGCAGATGTAAGGTAATATCGAAAGAATATTGATATAACTATAATTTAATATATTCTATTCGTAGCGAGTTGTAAAACGTGAAATTTTAATGTCTACTTTCGTTTTCGACAGGAAAGTAATTTTTCGTAGATATTTCTTTTTATAATACATGACGATATTGTAAATTCAATTGTAAGAACACTCATTTTCAAGTACTAGTAACCATATTCATATTTCCATCAGTGTGAAGAAAAGTAACTGACAGGTACCGGTCTGAGACATAATGATATCCTCATAGGCATATTGATGTTTTAAGGGTATTTTAATTTTGTCCAGACACCTTATTCAAAATATTTATGTTGTAAATTCAATCCACTTTGAACGTTATGTGAATTGACATTTAAGGTTGTTTGCATGATAATAATCAGTATACCCAACATTCGCTTTCTTACGTGACTTAAGTGTGAATCATAACATTTATAAATCAGAAAGACCTTATTGTACTTTTTGGTTCACAGCACAAATAAAGGACTTCAAGAGATTTCCTTATTGTAAAAAAAAATTAATATGCTGTCATGAAATGTTTTAACAGGGTCTCTTTGTTTGTGTTATACTGCATATTTAAAAGAATGGAAAAAGCAGCAGCCAGCGGATTTCAGAAACAGAAATCAGAGTCGAAATCTGGTGAGGACTATACTTCATTTGTGTTCAACGCAAATTCAGGCTGTTTAAATTGTAAGGGAAAAATAAATTGACATATGTTTATTATACATGTTATAGTAGCAAAACATTGAAATTAAAAAAGAGGATATATTTGATAAATTTTACTGCAATAAATTTTCAGAAAATGATATTTCTATGCATGCTTCCGACAAAAATTTGCAGAAGAAAGTAGAGGATGTGCAAAGATACGAAAGATATTGTCCAAGTTAGTCACTTTTAGATTTTTAACTTACATAAACGTTGAAATATAAGTTTTTATTCTAAGTTATACTTGATCTAATATTTCCAATGAAGGAAACAGCAGGTGGCTAATGAAGTATATAAGACTGTGTGTATTTGCTATGTGATATAGAGTAAATCATTTCGTATAGGAACAATGAACTTGATTTAAACATTTGAGTTGTAAACATCTGAATTTTTTCTTTCCATTGATATACTTAAATGTGGAGAGGGAGATAAATGGACTTTTAAAAATGAATATGAACTCACAGCAGATAATTTTTTGATAAAGAACAAGTGTTCTGTTAGACTTAATTGTAAATACGCTTTTTATGTTATATTTGGTCATACTTTAAAATGAAAATAGATATTTCAAAAAATTAATGTCATTTTTGGGTAAAGGAATCATGCCTAAAGATATGTATGCATTTAAAATGCAGTTACATTTAAAAAAAAATCATTTTCAAACTATTTTTCTGGTGCCATAAGGCTTAGTAAAGACAATTGTGTCTCTATCTTACTATCACATTGGGAATTATTTTTGGAAAAGGGAGGTCAAATGTGAGCTCATTTGAAAACATGGTCCAAGAAGCCTGAATTTCTGCAAGACAAATTGCTGACAATAAAACGTGAGGAAAAATCATTGAAACGGACAGTTGCATATATAGCATTCAAATTATATTGAGAAAAAAGTGTGCCTAACTACTTGATTATATTTGAGGCAAATAAATAGGAAAATGATCATTTACTTAAATTAGTCCAATTTAAGTCGTATTTTGATTTTAAGGAGTTGTCAGTGTCTTCCGATCCGGAGAGAGAGAAAGTGAAAGAGAATTAAAAATCACAAAATATCAATTCAAAAGGTGGACTTTCCTCGTGACAGCAAAAGAATCTAAGGATATTTTGAAAAAGAAGTTAGAAGATATTCAGACAGAAATTACACTGAAAATAGCCAATGCTTGTTGTACAGTTGAGTATTTCTCAAGGCAGCATGAGAAAAATTTCGAATCCTGGGTAGAGAGATGTTCTAAGGTAACAGAAGCGTGTTTCAGAGATTTAGAATTGTTATCTGTCAATGGAGAAGTGGAAGCAATCCAACATCTTTCAAAACAGATACAGAAAGCAAATGAAGATCATTTTATTTCATTATTTGAGATGAAGGGTGTTAGCGGCATTTTCCTACTAGGAAGAGGAGAACACATTATTGAGGTTATTTTAGCCTCGCACGCATATTTCAAAAACTTCATTATACAAAGACCCGAGAACAATGAAAACATTGCATATAAGGTATTTGACATCTCTTCACTGCAATGTCGTTGTATGGCAGCGTTTAATGGAATTGAACAGACAAAAGAGAAATACCCGTACCTGAAAGTTTATCAAAGTGGTGAGAATGTCAAGATGATTGGAAATGAAAATGACTGTGCAGCAGCATCAGAATTTCTGAAAACAAATGGCTGGATGACGGGTGTTCAATATGGAAGATGCAAACAGCTTATCTGTTTTGAATTCTTTTTGAAGAGAGTAAATGTGCAAGCCTTTATTGATGGTGGAATAACAAAGTATGCTGGTACATGGGCAGTTACTAAATGTACCGAACCTTTGAACAATGAATTAGTTTTCATATATGGGAAAACTAGATCTGATGTGGAAGGGATATTGAATGTTATCTTAGAATCTATCAAAATCAAAGAGATTTCAATTACCTCTGCGGCATGTAATGAGAAAAATATACAAAAATGGAAAGCGTATGCTGAGAAATTTGAACAGAGTTTTGGGGGAAAATTTAGTTTGCAAATTAGCACCCAGAAAGATCCAGGACTTGTTGCATATTTTGTCTTCACTGCTGACCTTGAAGATGAGGAAAGTTTAAAGATACTTGTAAATGAAATCGAATTAGAAATACCAAGAAAGGAAAAGATTTCAGTGGAACCAAAACATTTGATTTGGCTTCAAAAATGCTATTTTGATATTTTGAAAACAGAGGCGAAGAAAAATGGCATTGATTTAAAATTTGTTTCGAAAAATAATGTACATCAAGTGGAAATCACAGGTCTTTCTACCGCTTTAATGGAGATAAAACATTTAATTCATTCAATCTGTCCGAAAGAACAGAATATATTGCTCCCCTTTGCATCTTTACCTTCCAAGGTCACAGATTTTCTGCGCGATTCCCAATGCTGCTTTGAGTACTGTCCATTTAAAAATTCACGATTGTGGATAAAAGGGACTACAGGAATAGTCGTTTACAAAGGCGAGTACGGAACAGATTGCCTCTACTCTCTACTCCAAGTGAGGGCATTGGAGTCTGAAGGAAAAGGTAATTTACATACACATGATACATGAAGAAGTTTTGTTTAAATTGTTAAAAATTTTAATATATAGAAAACTCGGTAGAAAAATGAGAACAATTTATAAAATTCTCATAAAACAAAAACGTATCGTTAAAGATGCCTCTAAATTGTTGCTTGTATAAGAATGTACATTATCTCAGTGATCTCTGTAAAATTTTGGATCAGTCTCTATGAAGAAGTAAGCGTTCTTTGTCGACTGGTCACAGCTGCCGAAGGAAACATGTTAAAGCAATATGAGCTGCAACTTTGATGTCGGAATATTTAAATAATACTACAAAATTTTATTTTTGTCTAATTGAACATGAAGGTCCAAAT